TCAATTACTTGATGCTTTTTCCTTTGCCTAACAGTGTTCACCAGACTAAAGTGCCCCTTCAAGGTGATCGACTTGAGCAAAAGAAAAAAAAAAGAAAAGGAAAAAAAAAGCTAATAAAGCGTAAACACCTTGAACACTGTGGAGGTAGAAACGTAGCAGCGCCGGAGTACAGACATCTTCTAAAGTGTGTTCATTACTTGGGAGCAACCAAACATGAAAAAACTCGAGCCAAGGGAGGTTTTCTCTGTCAACTAATGTTTGCTTGTGCAGATTCAAACTCACGCCAGTGAAATTGTTCCCGCTTGTTTGAGCCTCCGAGCCATGGCTACATTTTCATCATCCCAGGACTCCCAAGTACAAAGAACATTAACACGAGTCTGCTGCTAAAGAGCCTATAGCAGTCAGGGTTGGGTTTTTTGGTTGTTGTTGTTGTTTTTGTTTGTTTTTTGTTTTTTTTTATACTAAATTATTGAATTATTAAAAAAAAAAAAAAAGATATGTGTAAACAAAACTAAATCTTATTTAATAAAAAGCATGCAATTCAAATTATACAATGTAAATTTTCTGGTGGGGTTATGCCACTTTGTGTGTACTGAGATGTTATAGCTTTTCTATGAGGTTCATTTGGTCTTCCAATATTTTATGTTATTAGGTTATTTTTTCAGACCAAGAGTTTGTTTTCAAACCTGACACTTTGGACTGCTCACTAGCGGTCTTCCTTAAATCAGCTGATTGGACATGTCACAGCAACATCACGTGACCACTCTGAGGAAGAGCAGTAGTGAGCAGTCGAAGCTGTCAGGTATGAAAACAAACTCTTGGTCTGAAAAAAACACCTAATAACATGTTATAGCTTTGTCTTGAATCTCAAAGAGAGGCCAATCTCACGCGCGGTTTTAAAAATGTAATGCAATAAAAATTTGCCATAATTAGCCAGAAAAAATACAGTTTTTGTGAAAAGTTGTATTTTATTTTTATTTACAGTCTGTCTCTTTATTTCCAGCATTAAGCTTGTCTGCCTCATTTTGTCACACAGACCATTTGACAACATTTACTGCCAATCTACCCTCTGGTCCTGCCATTCTCTGCAGGACTTGGCAGAACCCCATCTGAACTGCCCTTAAACAAAGCGATTGTGAACGTGCCCCTGGTGCGCGCTCCAGCTTTGTTATTAGTGTTTATATTGGGTAAACTTCATCAATTGCTTTTCTTTCTGCTTTGCCAAAATCTGTATTTAATTTGAAGTGCCAGCGTGCCCTTGAGCAACGCAGTGTGCTTATCGAACGCCACAACACTGTTTAATCTCCTCCTCATGCTGCGTTCAAAGGCCTTAGTTAGTGATCCTTTACAGTGCGCTTCAAGGAGAGGGACGCAGAGCTGGGCAGGAGTGCATTAAAGTGCAAAGTACTTATCCTGCTTTCACTCATTTTCAGGGTCAATATATGTTTGGAGAGACATTTTTCTGAGCCATTTTGGTTTTGTTTTTTGTGTGTGTGTGTGTGTGTGTGTCTGTCATTGCATCTGTTGCTATTTGAGCAAATCACCACCTTTAGATTGTTATTTCTCAATAAACAAAGACATGTAAGAACGGAGAAAGAGATAAACTTAGACTGGGAGGTGTTTATGGTAGACGTTAATAAGGCCTATGAAGATTTTGTGAATATTTATGTAACCCTCTACAATGAAAACAGCCCTTTAAATTAAGTAAAGGTTTCTTTACAGTTTTCTTTTTATGAAGACAGTATATTGAAAACTTCCTACTATTTAGTTGTTAATTTGAAATATAGTACAAAAGGACAAAAACTCTAAACTACAGAAGTAGTACAGTGCAAATGATGAGTATGCTAGAAAAAAAATACCTATTTTGTAATTTTGCTTGAAAATTGTCGTGACAGATGATTGGCTAATTGTTTTTGAGGCTACGTTTATATGATGACAGTCTGAACAGAAAACCCAAAAGTGGTGTTGCGTCTTCACTTTTTATTCTGCATTTAGATGAGGAAATCTGTATGAAATTCAATTGGGTATGCATGCCAGGCAGCTAGGTGGTGACGCTAGATGGTGATGTATGTGATGCAAACGCATATGAGAGCAGATCTGACCAGAGTTTTGCGTCTTGGGCAGTGTAGACGGAAACGCTACAGTGGAGTGTATTCAACTTTTCCACTGTGGAGGATGGTTTCAGATTTTTGCATTTTTAAGCCCCAAAAACACAGTCACTGTCTAAACGAAAGGCACTTCCGATAAAATATTTTGTCCTTTTTACCCGCAAGCGTTGTTGGGCTTGTTTAATAAGACTTCTTCATAATCCTATTCAAATGTCTTCAAATTGTTGTTTTAACCCCTGGCAACAAGGCTAAGACTAATACAGATAAGAGTTAGAATAAACTGATTGAAAATTGATTTGTTGTTGATGATTGTTTTGCTTTTAGGGAGGATAGAGGATTTGGCTGCAGACCACAGTCAAAAAGCACCCAGCTGATCATTGACCATTTTAAACTATTATCTCATTTAGATTAAAATCGTATCAATAGCTGTGCCCGATTTGGTTGGTTCTTATTTCGTAACTGGACCTGTGTTTTTGCGGGTGCGTCAACTGCCAAGGCTAGTGTGGATTGTCTGGAGCAAACCAGATTGCTCTCAAGTTGTTTCGGTTAAAAAGGTCAAATGTTTGTGTAGAGAGAGGACACTAAATAAGCCGGAGAATGTAGCATTCTGGGAGGAGCAATAGAGTCCCACTGGCAACAAAATCTGTTTTTTTCTTCTTTTGTTCCCTGCGCTGTGAAAATCCTGAATGCAGCGGGAGTTGACATGTTGACATAGAAATGAATGTTTTACAACAGTAGGTGCTCTAAAACATTAAATCAGTTCTGTGTTGTATTATAAAGGACTAGTGCTACTTCTATGTTATTTATGTTTTTTCTGTGTTTTTCTGTGGTGGTTGTAAGAGAATTTAATAAGTCATCCGTCACTTACATTTCTCAGTTTAACCTCGCCTCACAAGAGCTATATTTACACCATCTTCCCCTGGCATACTATTGGCAGACCATTATCTAAATTATGGCATATTGCTGTCAACTAGAGACTACTGGCCTTCATAATCCCTCTACATTTGGTTTATAAAGCCCCTTATTTGGAAGCATAGTGACGGGGCTTGAACTCTCACACATCATACTATATTCACTTTTCAAATCATACTATATCATACTACACGGGCCCATATTATTGATGGGAAATAAACTCTTCTTTAAGCCTTTTACTTTTACTCTTTCTTGGACAAGCTGAAAACTTCTACAACAATGGTGAGCCAAAGACAATAAAGACAAAACATCAGCCCACTGTGATGGAATTGATATTATTATAGTAAAAAAGACAAAAGACTGTGTCCTTAAAGGGACAGTCCAGAATTTTGGACATAGAACCTCATGTCCTATTTCACCAGAGTGTTGGAAACGTGTGGAGACACTTTTTAAAGTATTCCATCTAGTCCTTGTATTTGCGGAGGTTGCTGGTGCTAGGCTAGTGCATGTCAATGGCCATAGTTAGCCTGCCACTAAAAACAGTCTTACCCACTCCACAAAACACCCGAAGCAAAACAATCATTACGTCAGACTGTGGATGTGAATGTCTGTGTCAATTTAATAATTTGAAAGATTTATGTCTGAGCAGCAGCAGCGAGTTGTATTTCCTGATAGAAAGCTTGGCCGTGGCGGACTGATATCACCTAGCACCTATCTTACCGGCAAAGTAAAATTACGCTGCTGCAGAGAAAATAGTCCATTAACATGTGACGATTCATGCGATGCAAGGTTAGTTTTATTTCAAACCTTATTCTATCAAGACAGACATTTACATCGACAGTCTGGCGTAATAATAGATTTGCTTTTCATGTTTTGTGGAGTGGGTAAGACTGTTTTTAGTGGCAGGATAACTATGACCATTGACATGCACTAGCCTAGCACCAGCAACCTCTGCAAATACAAGGACGGGATGGAATATTTAAAGAAGTGTCTCCACACGTCTCCAACACTCTGGCTAACTAGGAAATGAGGTCCTATATGCACAATTCGGAGCTGTCCCTTTAAAAATGCACTGTGTACCTTTACAGGTGGAAGGTCCTCATCCATTTGGCTGCATAAAGATATCATTGCTTTGCCTGAAATTCTCCACAGTATGGCATTTAAATATCATGTATCCTTGAGTACAAGTGGTTGGCACCATCAGGGCAAGTTTTTATTAATCAGATCCATGGAGAGGAAGCTCATGCACAGTGAAGATCCTGTTTTTAGGGTATTTTTGACCAAATGCTAGATATATGTTTAATGTCTTACTGTTGAACATTATAGGCAAAGCAATGGCATCACCATAGAGAGAAGCAGGTGGTGGACCCTCCTCCAAAAAGTTACACAGTGCACCTAAATTTTTAGTTCATCCTTCATAACCTGAATATTCCCTCAAAAAATGAAAATTGCAAAGATAATGCCTGTATTTAAAAATGGTGATGAACACTTATTTAACAATTACAGACTTATCTCAATACTCTCTCTGTTTTCAAAAATAACAGAGAAATAGTTTACCCATTTATTTTGTTGTTAGTTTTTATGTGGTGGTGAACCAAAAACAATAAAGATATTCTGTTCTATTATATATTCACCCATCCTTTGTCTTCCCGGGCCAGGTCACAGACGCAGAAGCAGCAGTCTGAGCAGAGATGTCCCTTTCCACGCGTCAAATTCATTCTATATATATACCCTTTCGTTATCCAGAATCATAATACAGCTGCTTTATATTCAACTCCACGCCTAGTCTCTTTAGAGGCTAGTCAAGTGAGGTGCATATATTCCTTTGTCCTGTTTGTATAACCTTCAGAGCCTCTGTTTCATTGAGTATCTTGTACTAGATGTGGTCTTTATTGATCCTTTGGTAATAGGGCTGTGCAGGTATGACCACATGCATGACTGCTCACATAAAAAAAAAAAAAACATGTTTGTGTTTTTCAGGCTGGAATCCCCCACTCGGACCTTGACCCTGGAAGCGCCTAGAGGAGTGGAGATCAATGCAGGTGTAGGGGACTTCACAGCATCCTGCAGAAAAGACCTCCTGCTGCAGTCCTCAGATGGAGAGGTGAGTAGCAAGAATAATTTACTGTTCGTTTGGGTACTAGGTTTGGGTTAGGTCTAGAATAGTTTATTTCCAATTTGTAGTGAAAGGTGTACTGAGTAACTTGTCGGCAGTGGGTCTGTCACCTTCTTGTTTCTATGGATATGTCATTTCTCTGCCTGGAATGTTCCACAGTATGACATTAAACAAATCTACCTACTTTTATTCAAACACAGGTGGTTTTATAGATAAAAAAAACTAGAAAAACATGTATTCTGACTGTGAGCGGTGTGATAGATCAGAGCTGTAACTTGGACTAGTTTGGTCTTAATGATGATAGAAAAGCTTAATGCCATAGTGCGAAACATTCCAGACAAAGCAATAACATCTCCATGGAGAAAAGCAGGCGGCGGACACTCCACTAGAGAAGTTACACAATGCACCTTTAAAAATCCCACTGTAAAAAGAAACAAAACACTGACACTGTGAAATAAACAAGCTACAGAGATTACGTAGGCAAAATACGAAGGTGCCATTTCAAAGTTCAAAGTGCATTGTTCAAACTTATAACACCTTGTGGGAAGAAGTTGTCACCATGGCGAGAAGTCTTACATTTAAAGATGCTCCTTGAAACATTTCTAGTGGAGGGTCTGCCACCTGATGTCTCCATGGACATGTTGCTTTGTCTAGAATGTTCCATAGCATAGATTAAACCTATCTATCACAAGAGAGACAAGCAGTTTACAGCTTGTCAAAGTCTAAAACAGTGACTCTCCAAGTGGATTTTTTTTTTTTTATTTTTTCAATACCAAGACTACTATTTTGTTAGTAGACCGCAACAGGGTTCAGTTTTAGATAATGAACTGTAATACCATAATTGGCCTTGGTGTTTCCAACTATTTAAATATTGATAATCATTAATTGCACTGTCTAATCTCAAAGGCTATTAGTAGAACAAAAGCTATACGATTTATTTCACTTGTTAAAACAAAAAAGTAAAGTTGCACAAATCTCCGTGTGCATGGTAAATAGAACAACAAAACTTCACAAACTATTGAGGTGTAAGCTGGGACTCTGTGGTACTGCCTAGTGTTGGGTGCGCTTCATTAAAGTACCTTATTAGGCTAATGAGCGTCATCAATCCCAGCGACCTTGTCCTCCTCCTCCCCTCCTCCTCTCTCATTCCTCCGTTTCGCCGCTTTTCTGTTTGGGACAAGTGACTTCATTAAAGGCAGCCTGATGAGGTTTGCTGTCTCTGCTGCTGTGTGCCGTTATATGTGTGTGTGTCACTGTTAGCGATATCTTGCTGTCAAGCTCTTTGCATAGCAGCCTGCAACACTGCGTGAGAACCCAGCCAGACATCATCCTTATGTGTGTGTCCTGATAGCGCGCGCGTGTGTGTGTGCTGGAGCATAGTGTGTCATTAACTCAGTAATTAACAGAGGAATGGCCTTCTTGTATTGCACTCAATGTCATTGTCACTCACTTCCATTCAGTGTATTCTCTGAGCCAGACACGCAATATCTCAACACACACTCAGTCACACCCACTAGAACAAAAACAGGCTTCATATAACTGATGTTTATGTTGTGTTTTGTTTTTTGTTTTGTTTTTTTATTTATGTAATTTCATGTTTTTCTTTACCAGCTTTTTCTATATATGACCACATTTGCCTCAGTTTAAATGCTAAAAGGCTTACTCGACTTTACTTTGTCTTGAGTGTTCCACAGTATTAGCCAGGCTGGCGCCACCGAGTGCCTCCACTCAATTTTATTTCTCTCCAAAGACTAGGTCAGGACAGGAATATTCTAGACGGTTCACAGAAACCCCGGAAATGCAAGCTTAGGCACCAGCCAATCAGCGAAGACCCATAAATTCTGTGTTGGCAATGATTCCCGAGATCAAGGATTTAAAGAACAAAGAGAATGTTTGTTGAATTTTATCAAGGAAGAAAGAAAGATGTTATTGCCCTTCTTACGACAGGATTTGGGAAAAGCTTAATATACCAGTTAGCCCCATTAGCGGCGCATTACATACGTCACGATATAATAGCAGTGACTAGTTAAATTTTTAAAAAGTACCCGCCTACCATCGAGTGAACGAATCCTAACACTGCGAGGTCAAACGGTTTCTACGAAGTGAAACTGGCTGTTGAATCAGGCTACCACAGTATGGCATTAATATGTCAATCTGTCTTGCCTTCATCAAATTACAGATGTTTTATTATACACAGATCTGACCAGTAACTTGGCTTGATGGTGTAATGCCATCCTGTGAAAGCACACAGCAATATAACATTTACAAGGAGACAAGCAGGTGGTAGACCTTCCAGGGAAAAAAGTATTATAATGTGTTTTTATGGCTCTCCTCGCACACTATGGGCCTTAGATCACCTGCACAAATTGGTGGACTGAAGGCTGAAAGAGAAACAACCACAAACCGATTAATATATGCCCAGAGTAGACTATTAAATATTACGCAACATTGACTCTTGTGAGCTTTAAGTCATGTTATAAAGCTATGTGAGGTTGTATGAATTATTAGACTGTTTACATCTACAATCTCAAAATGCTCTGTTCTAACTTGTGATGTTATGAAGTGGTAGTTTTCAAATTAACAGATACTGTTTTACCTTTAGTTCAGCAGAGATGGTCAATTCCAGGCCTGAAATTAACCGAATGATTCTTGTGAAGGTGTATGAGGTTTAAAAACAAAGTAGAGAGCTTCCTGTATTACCACATGACATCACAAGGTGGAACAGCCTGAATATGCAGGGTTTGTGTGTTAAACATGTGTGAATTAAGCCTTGCACTCACACGGGACACATTTTGAAAGCTCATTGCGGGCGTAGGCAGAAGCGGGACTGCGCAATGTGGGAGCAGGCGAGTGGGATGATAAACAATCCCACAAATAAATATGAGTGTAAGGTAAAATATACAAATGATTAATGTATGCTTACCATACATCATTTGTGCTGGATATTTTATTTGGCAATAATAAAAACATTTTAAGCAGCCTAAACTTGCATATGTGGTCTAATCTCATGCACATTTTAGACAATTCCTTTCCTTTTCTCCGTGTTTGATAGAGCTTAAGAAAGAGAATGCTCTATCTTGAGGGATTTGCGGGCAGTTAGCAGGACAAAATATTGTAGATGCAGGCGGGAGCGGAAATTAAAATTACAATTCTTTGCAGGTGCGGGCAGGAGTGGGATTGAAAATTCTGTCCCACGCAGAACACTAGTGTGAATGAAACAAATACTGTTGGGCAAGTTACTTCTAAAAACTTCTAAAAACTGTAATGCCTTATTTATTAGGCTACTTGTTACTGTCATTTCAAAGTAATTCGTCACATTACAAAATCACTGCATTTAAAATGTAAGGCACTTTTACTTTTAAGTTACTCCCACCAAAATAACTGTCAGCGAGCGAAGATGCTGAACTTTTGCGCTGTATATGGACTGAACCAGCACTAAACCAGGACTGAACCAGGACTAAACCAGAACGGAACAAGAACTGAACAAGGACTAATCTTGGACCAGGACTTGGGATCTAGGACCACCCCTGAGAGAACCCAGAGCCTGTGGAGCTGGGGGTGTCCGCAAAACATGATCAGGCATCAGCTGAGGAGTTCTGCGCCGGTCCTTTTGCCCGTGGTTACCTGACGGTCTACAGGGGCGCACCTTCCGGGCCTGTCCCAACACTCAGAACCGTAACGATGGCGTTTCACCACTGCTGATATCACGGTGATTTTAGCGAATTTGTATGAAGAAAAATGTAAAACCCACGACTTCAATCCAGGTTAAAAAAGCATTGTAATGCGCGTTACAGACATTTGTACCAAGTAAAATAAAATAAAAAATCTCTAATGCCTTACATTAGTGCATAAAGCAATTACAGCAAAGTACAGTAATTTGTTACTTTTATAATGTGTTACAACACTGGAAACAAAACACAATGCCAGATATGTTTGTGATGAGGAAACAAGATTATAACATAGATCAGAAAATAGCATAATATGGGCCCTTTAAAAAAAACAAAATGCTTTATTTGTCAGAAGAAGTTTGCAGTTCTTCAAACTCCTCATCTATCCCATTGTTACTTCCTGTTCATCCATTGTTCGTTTCCTGTTTAGTTTCTCGCATTGTTCTTCTCATCTCCTCCTTTTTATCCTTCCGGGCCTTCATCTCTAAAGTAACCCAGCCTATCTAATTAACTTTCCACTGGCAGGGTCATACATCACTGTGTCTGTCAGTGCTCACAGAATGGGGAGGGGAGCCGTGCGGATTATAATTTTTACCTCGTTTCTGTCACCTCTCTCCTCTTGGTTTCGTGTTTTCTTTTGTCTTTTGGCTTCCTTTGTTCATCCATTATCTGTCCCTCTCTCTCTCCGTCTGTCATCCGTGCATAAATAGACATCTCAGTATTGACGGGAACAAAAGCGAGCGGGTGACTGGAACAAGGATGGGAGAGGAGGCCTTTGGCAAAGCGCGGTGATGACAGCAATGGAAAAGTTGAAATTTTTCTGACACCTCATCACCCTATGGCATACTAAAATTACATACGAAAAATCAGGCTAACAGCAATTTTGCATCACTCATTTAAAGTTTGCTTCTTTTTCGAATTAAAGGCTGTCATCTTCTGTCTGTGATTATTTTAGAATGTGCCACAAAGATTTACAAATTAGTATAATAAAGTTTTATAAAGTTTTGTGAAATTAAAAATGACGTGTAGAACTTACTAGCGTCATTCGTCATTACTTTTGACAGTATCATTCCAGGGGTCCCCATAATGAATCCTCCCTCTTCAAACAGGCTCGCTGACAGACTTTTTGGAGAAGAGGGTCCAATCCGTGGGTTTCAGAATGACGAAAAATTTGCACCTTTGCCATAGCAATTAAGGGCTCAAAACAAATGGTGAAAATGGTGAAAAGTACTCCAAAAAAATTACTCAACTTGAACAGGAAATTGAAACTATGAGATAGGTTTCATTCACACAACTTCACAGAGTACTAGTATCTGATGT